CCCCCGCGCTCCAACTGCCAGGCCCAAACCCGATTTCGCGCCGAGAAGAGGGGCCCATCGGCGTAAGGTTGTTAAGCGCGGGTGCCCTTGGCTCTCGTTCAACCTCAGTGCCGCAAAGCTCGCAGGACCCATCTGACGTGCCGCGATCGCATGAGACTTTCGAGAGCCTTGCATCTCGAACGCGCGGCTTCCGGAAAGTTGAACTCGCACCCGTCACTGCGGCGCAATGCGTGCCCGGTCACACGCCTTTTGGGCAGTCTGGTGTACAAGCAGCTACACTCTCTCTTTCTCTTTCTCTCTCTCTCTCTCTCTCTCTCTCGCTCTCTCTCTCATTCTCTCTCATTCTCTCTCTCTCTCTCTCTCTCTCTCTCTCTCTCTCTCTCTCTCTCTCTCTCTCTCTCTCTCACTCTCTCTCTCTCTCTCTCTCTCTCTCTCTCTCTCTCTCTCTCTCTCTCTCTCTCTCTCTCTCTCTCTCTCTCTCTCTCTCTCTCTCTCTCTCTCTCTCTCTCTCTCTCTCTCTCCTTCTCTCTCTCTCTCTCTCTCTCTCTCTCTCTCTCTCTCTCTCTCTCTCTCTCTCTCTCTCTCTCTCTCTCTCTCTCTCTCTCTCTCATTCTCTCTCTCTCATTCTCTCTCACTCACTCTCTCTCTCTCTCTCCTTCTCTCTCTCTCTCTCTCTCCCCTCTTTCTTTCTCTCTCTCACTCTCTCTCTCTCTCTCTCTCTCTCTCTCTCTCTCTCTCTCTCTCTCTCTCTCTCTCTCTCTCTCTCTCTCTCTCTCTCTCTATCTCTATCTATCTATCTTTTTTTTCTCTCTCTCATTCCCTCTCTCTCTCTCGCTCTCTCTCTCATTCTCTCTCTCTCTCTCTCTCTCTCTCTCTCTCTCTCTCTCTCTCTCTCTCTCTCTCTCTCTCTCTCTCTCTCTCTCTCTCTTATGAAAATAAAGATAATGAGAATAATAGTAGTAGTGATGATACTATAACTAATAATGTAAGCCTAATTATAAAAAAACAAGACCAACAGCAATATTAATGATTATGATAATAATACTGAAAAAATAACAATGATTTGTATAAAAATCCTTTAAAATCTTTTTTCCCCATATAAGAGCTTGGAAGACATGGGAGGACCTCATGGGAACGGGAGCTGGCAACGACAAATTGGCCCGTTATCCGGAGGAGAATTTTCATGAACTGCCGAAGTTGAAGGTGAGAGAGAAAACGCAGTCTGGTAATAGGCCTTTGGTTAGACCACTTCTTCACAGCTTCTTGTAAGAAAGTTTGGGCGACCAACTGTCTCGACATATTATTCAGCTATATTAATATATATTCATTTCGTGCCCTGACTTCTCTCCTTATAAATGGTCCACTTGCATCCATGCAAATCGGTCATAACTTCTAATGTGTGTCACTAATTCTTACAAATGGTGACCAACAGAAACAGTGACACCCAAGCATTGAATGCTGTCATCATAAAACTACTGCCTATCTCTATCTAAGCCAAGGTTCAGTTCTGCCTGTGGAAGGTTACTGACCCAAACACCAAGACTGACTGTATTCTATACGCTATCCCAGATGACACCTTCTCTCACATCTCAACAACAACGACATCAAATACAATGATATCCAGGAATTTTCACTCTCCATCAGTGGTCTCTGTAGCGATCACTAAGTAACAGCACAGCTCATGCATCCTGGAATGAGTTGCAAGGTCTCGGTAGGCTACCAGGAAACGACAGAGTCACCATGACATGTAAATCTCCAGAGAGGCCTGTGGCCCTTGTGTTTTCCACCTTCTACGAGAGCTGCCCTATATAATGTGGAAAAGAGCCTTACTTATGATAATTGAACTCATTGTCTTGGGAATGGTCTCTTGCATTCCTGATGCCTTCTACTTCACGAAGGTGGAGAACACCCATCATACCTGTGTTGTTGCCTGTCAATGCACAGCAAAGAACTGAAGTTGTGGCAACTGACCAAACACAGCGGCCAGTTTCACTCCTCCTACCACAGCAAGTCCAGAGCGTCTGCATATTACTGCCTTCCTGGATGTGAGTCCCCCAAAAACATGAATCAGGACCACCGTAAACTAGCGTAAACCCGCACTTCAGCAAAATCAAGTATTCCAAGAGTTTCCCGAAAAAATCTGAACACATCTCTGTCATCAGTCTGGCCGAACTGCAAAACAGGGCATCGTCATCCACACCAGGGCAGCAGACCTCCCTAATACACTAAAACTAGCCAGGTTTTCTCCAAACTCGACCTCTTGAAAGATTACAATCAACACTCGCCTAAAACTCGTATTTCGTCCTTGGCTTCTGGAATTCAACGCAACCTTCCAGATCTATTAGGCAGCTTCCCTGCTAGATTTTTCTATTGTAACTTTAATATTTTACAGACTACAGTTGGAGCTTGACAAGTGTCTGTTCGATGTCTTCACTGTAATTCCTTGGATAAATATGTGTTCCCCTCATGAAATTGATCGATGAGGTCAGTTACTTTCACT